TAACTTGGTGGCTGGGTGTGGTGACTCACACCTAAAATCCCAGCACTTCGGTAGGCCAAGGTGGGAGGACTGAGCCCAGGAGTTCGAGACCAGCCTGGGCAACATAGTGAGACACCCTCAACTCTGCAAAAAATATAAAAATTATTTGATAATTTTTGTATTTTCAAATTTTGTGTGATGGCCTGTGCCTGTGGTCCCAGCTACTCATAAGGCTGAGGTGGGAGGATCACTTGAGCCCAGGAGGTTGAGGCTGTAGTGAGCCATGATCTCACCACTGCAGTCCAGTCTGGGCAACAGTGACACCCGGTTTTAAAACAAAACAAGTCTTGGTATATGCCTCCCTTAAGTGTTTTTCTTTTCACAGACATAAGTTAAATAAATACCATACCTTTTGTTGTATAACTTGATATTTTTGTACACACAGTGTGTATTATATCAGTATGCCTTCTTTTAGAAATGATTTCCAGTGATTGTGTGTAATTCATTTTCCAGCCTATAGGTGTAACATACTTTTTTCAACTATTTACTTATTACTGAATTTTAAGTAACACTGCAATGAACATTGTTCTAGTTTTACTGAATGACTTCCAGCAATTAACTGTGTTAAATTAACTAAACATAGTAGTTTCTTTCAATAAATTTGTAGAATATGTTCATCTGATTAGTGTCTGAGTAATTTACACCGTGGTCCAGAACTGAGCTAGGTGTCGGGGGTATGCTTACACATAAGTATTGTAGTACTAAGGATAAAACAAATGCATACCAATATGAAGGGATGTCAGCTACTTAAGTAAACAGATTTTAATTATTTAAATAAAGTTGGCATGAAATAACTTTATGCAAATTTATAAAACATCAACCAGCAGCTGTTTATACCTCTGCATGTGTGGGGTGGTGGGGATGGGGCAGTGAGATGCAGACAGACGGTGGCCAAAAAACCTACCTGCTTTCCATTTGCATGACATGGCCACTGAAGAGAGTGAGGACAGAAAGGCGTGGACCTGGGTAGCTTTGGAAAATGGTGTTTTGACTGTAAACTACAAAAACTACAAAAAGAACTGTGCATAAACGCTGTACTTTAGTGGGTAAAGTTTCTCATGTTGCACAGTTTGACAGTTCCAACACTGCTTTACATATGTTCAACGGTTGAACAAATAGTGAAGGGGTGGTGGATGGAGAGAGCCACGTTTCCCACAGCTGGAGAGGAAAGCCAAAGGTAAAGTCAAAGGTATGTAAGGAAAGAAGGCTAAAATGAACTTGGTGGGACCGTATTAAAGTCAGAAACCTCAATGTGAACTTAGGTTTAGCTTAGTATAGATGCAGAATGGATTAGGACACACAGGTATTTCCTGGATCTGTTCATTGAAACAGCTTAGAAGCGATAACACCACAGTAGCAAAAAGTACACCCAGATCTTGGTTTCTAAATTCCATTCTCCAGTCACAGTAGCCAGAACTTCTTGAAGAAATGGATAATTGTAGGTCTGGGCATCTTGCATTGTCAGAAAATAAGGAAGTAATCATGAAACAAAGGATGTGGGCATGTTTGAAGGACATACCAGCCAACCTCAAAGAGCTCCTAATAGCCAAAGCTGGATTAATTTGAGCAACAAAATAAATAATGTGGTGTGCTGCATTATAGTCCAAGGTATACAACAATTATACCTGCATGTAACTGTATACTGGGAGAAGAGACATCTTCCTTATAGAAGAATTTTGAGTAATGTTTGCAGATACCTCCCCCTTCACTAGCTAGACCTTAATCCTCCCAACCCCTTGAGTGTGGACTGAATTTAGTGACTCACTTCTAAGAGACAGAGTATGGAAAGGTGGGGAAAAGGCAAATTTACAGTGGAAAAACCTGACAGACCCTACTTGGACCAAGTAATCAAAGTTTAACACAACCAGCGGTAAACCATGTCCAAACAAGAAGAAAAGTTGCACTGCTTGAGGCCTGGAGTTTGAGATCAACCTGGGAAACATATCTAGACCCCATCTCTACAAAAAATAAAATTTAAGACTTAGCTCGGTGTGGTGGTATGCACCTGTAATTCCAGCTACTTGGGAGGCTGAGGTGGGCTGATTGAGGTTCCAGTGAGTCATGATTGTGCCACTGCACTCCAGCCTGGGGGACAGAGTGAAACCCTGTCTCAAAAAAAAAAGTTGAAAGAAATGTACACTGAATACCCACATACCCCCATCTAGATTATATAATTAATATCGTGCAGTCTGGGCTTTATTACATATCTACCCATCACACTATCTTATTTCAAATCGTATTTCAAAGTAAGTTGCAAACGTTGGTACATGCGATCACCCGGCCCCCACTCCCCCCAAAATACTTGTTTAAAATATAATTTCTACATTCTCTGCCAAGGTTGTTGTGCAGCACCTACCAGCCACAGCACAGTTGATGCAATGTGACTGTGCCCTGCGGAGCCTCGAGGAGTGTGGGAAATGGGGGAGGATGTAGGTGATGTAGGCAGGCTCCAAGGTGAGCACAGATGTGTGTGATCAGGTGACCCACCTGACTGATGTGAATCTATACTTATGGGTGCTGGAGCATCATGGGGTCTGTGAAGATCCAGAAAACAGCAGCTGTTTCCTGGCACAAGGGCAGCTTTAAGGATGGCAAGAAGGGATGGTGAGTTTGCTCTGGGACAGAACTGAGCTGCTAAAGTTGTAGTAATGTAGAGTGCCCAAGCATTTATTTGGGAGAGCCAAAGGCCTGCTTCACCATGGATTCTCCCCTCCCCTCTGACCCCTGGGAAAACAAATAGAGCGGGAGGAGAGAGGCTTTAGCTCAGGAAGGGCTAGGAACACTGATCAGCTCATCAATCAGGAGAGTGTGCAATTATGCAGAAAGGACAGAAATCACTCCCTGAAGGCCACAGACTTGGGGATTTGCCCAGAAGAAGACATTACAGCTGCTAACAGTAGCCCTATTCAGTTGGGGTGCATAATGATTTTAAAACTAATCAGGAACCAAAGCCTGAGGCTGGGGACAAGCACAAATATCTTGTTGACAGAGCAAACATCTAGGTTTTGTCAGATAGGAAGTTTCTGAGGAGGTCAGAGTGATGTAATGGTGTGCACTAAGCTTTCATCCTTAAACAGATGGGCCCCCGAGGTGCCATCTGCACCTCCCTGGGGCCCTTCAAAATGACTTCCTATAAATTAAATTGTCCTAAATTGGTATTGAGAAATTAGTGTGGTAGCCATATCAGAAGCAAAACTAGACAAAGGAAGGAAATTTCCATGGAATTACTCGTTTCCTTCTCCTCCCTTGCTTTATAAATAGACCTCAGGTTTATTATTTTGGTCAACTTTCTTGGTTAGCACATGAATATTATTGCCTCCCCCAAATCACCATCCAACGTAAACTTCCCTTTCTCCTCTTAAGCTGGGACAACTGCATTTATCCCTACCTAAGCCAGTGTCAGCTGGGTATTTTTCATAAACTGTCTTGCTATTTTGGGCTTTCTGTTTTTGTTGAGGAGGAAGTAGTGGTTTTGTTTCTGGTTTTTCCTTTCATCAAAGGGATATTTGTTCTGGAAGGGAAAGGGGAGGGGATGCTTCTCAGTCTAGATCAGAGGGAGAAAATGTACGACATCGTTTGTAAGTGGCTGATGATGAGTCTTAATTGGTGAAACATTTCAGAACAGAAAGTGGGCCCACTATACTCATCCTTTTATATATTCAACACTTATTGGCACTTCAATTAGCAATGAGTGATGTAGCCTGTGTTCTCAGGGAGAGAGACAATCCGAAAAAATAGCAAAGTAAAGTTTACATAGATGTGAATAGAGGATTAGAGAAGCTGGGGCATGGGCTTCAAGGAGGAGGTAATTTTTCCTTTTTGAGATGGAATCTCACTATGTTGCCCAGGCTGGTTTCTAACTCCTGGGCTCAAGCGGTCCTCCCACCTCAGCCTCCCAAATAGCTGGGATTATAGGCATGGGCCTCCATGCCCAGCAGGAGGTGATTCTTGAGCTGTGCCTCAAGGGAGTAGACAGGTAAGGTGGGAGTTGGGTCGGGGCAGGGGGACCACCCTAGCTGAGGCTTGGAAGGTGAACCGGGTGGTGTGTATGGGTAAGTGGATGGAGTGTGGGGTGGGGCAGGGAGCTGTGAAGAAGATTGGTTTGGAACAGGAGTGAAGAAAAAAAGCCGGGGGAGGTGCATGTGGGTGAGTGGGTAGGCGAGGCACCAGGGTGGGAAGCTGGGGTGTTAGCACATCAAGCCTGCTGGCTTCTGTTTTCTGAGTAAAGTGGGAAGAAAGGGCATTTGCTAGAAATAGGATGGAGGAGAATGATTAAAGTTTGAAACAGGAGTTGCAGGGAGTAGTAGGAGGGCCTTTTAAAATATCAAAGGTCTTTTGGGTTAGAGAATTTAAGTGCTGTGGCATCTTTCTGCACAGTGATGCAATTTCTGTGGTCTTTGGGCCCCAGGGTGTAGGTGAGGACAAGCTGAGTTCTGTTATTGGTTCCCTTGGGTGTGGCTAAAGAAGAGGGTTGTGGAGAATTGAAGGTGCTGGCAAGGGGATGATTGTTGGTGGGGTCCACACTGTGGGAACAAAGAAGGGGACATATTCAGGGGACATATTCAAGGACCATCCGAGAGCAAGGACCTCGGGAAGGAGGAGGTGTGTGAGCCGCAAGGATAGGAGGCTGTAGTCATGAAGCAAGATCATGGAAATACGGCTTCTGACTGTGAGGTGTGACCCTGGGAATGGCTGGCCAGTGTCAAGAGCCAGGGATGAGAGCTCAAGTGCAGGCATAACGAGAACATCTGCTGTCACTGACTCTGTGCTGGGCACTGGCCTAAGTGCTTTGGACTTTTCATGCAACACAGCACCACAAATAGGTACTATTATTTATCGCCATTTACCCGTGAGGTACCAGAGGCCCAGAGAGGTCAAGTAATTGCTCAAGGTCATGCAGTTAATAAATGATGGAGTGGAACTTCTAACCCAGGTTGTCCCCTTTGCTCTTGTTCCTTTAGGAGCTGACTACTGGGCAGGAACATCTCTTGGGAGGAAGAGCGGAAGAGATAATTGTGAGCTAAGGCCCATTGTCCCATTTTCCTGGTGCTTGTGAAATTATCAAAAATAGGTAGGTGATGGCTGAGGACTGGGGTAGAGCATGGTATGACTGTGACTATGACTCAAAGAGGGATGAATCTTTACATGAGGTTAGAAGAGAGAATGTCCACTCTTTCCACCTGCCCAGAGCCACTGGTGAGCCAGTGCCTCCAGAGGAGAGAAGCCCTGTCAAAAGCAGAGATGGGCTGGGCATGGTGGCTCACGCCTGTAGTCCCAGCACTTAGGGAGGCCGAGGCAGGTGGATCACAAGGTCAGGAGTTTGAGATCAGCCTGGACAATGTAGTGAAACCCTGTTTCTACTAAAAATACAAAAAAATTAGCCTGGTGTGGTGGCACGTACCTGTAGTCCCAACTACTCTGGAGGCTGAGGTGGGAGAATCACTTGAACCTGGGAGGCAGAGGTTGCAATAAGCTGATACCATGCCTGAGTGACAGAGTGAGACTCTGTCTCAAAAAAAAAAAAAAGCGGAGATGGAGAGTTAGTGTTTAATGGGTACAGAGTTTCAGTTGGGGAAGATGAAAAACTTTCATGGATAGTGCTGATGGTTGCAGAAGAATGTGCTCAGTGCTACTAAACTGTATACTTAGAAATGGTTAAAATGGTAAATTTTATGTCTGTTTTACCACAATGAAAAATAAAAAGGTGGTGGAGGGAGGGAGTGATAATCACTACCATTTATGAAACTCTTTCCTTGTGCAAAGTGGGTACTTGTTAAATATTTGAATGTCTGCTGGGGATTTTGCTAAGTGCTTTACGTGTATTTTCATTTAATCCTCACTTTCAGAGATGGGGTAAGCTCTGCTGTACAGATGAGGAATCTCAGGTTTAAAGGGATTAGGCAACTTGCCCAAGGTCATTCATCCAGAAATGGTAGAGGCTGGGCTCAACCAGATCCCCACACTCCAAAGCCCTTGCTTGTAACTGTTAGGGAATTGAACAGCGGATAGAAGGTTCCAGAGACTGTGGGGGAAGAGAGGGGTTGTTGATGGAGCGAGGACCTGGGATGGAGAAATGCTGGGTGACAAGAGGAGGGTTGGGGATAGAGGAGCAGCAAGACCAAAGGAATGAGAAGTCAGATGGACAGGACCATCCTCCAGTGTCCAGACTGGGTCTGCACTGTCACGAAAGTGGCGAAAAGTCCAAGTAACACCAGCTTGTTCTCAGAAAGGGGCTGGAGGTTATGGAGAATCAGGAGAAGTGGGAGAGCTCGGTGTGGGGTGTGCCTGTGTGATCCGAAGACAGTCTTGTCAGCAGAAGATTCTTCCCAGATCAGGACCTGGGGCCTGAGGGGTTGGCAGTATGGACAGGGTGGACATGAACTCAGCCTGGGCGCCGCTTCTCATCTTCTTCCTGAATGCCCTTCCTTCCTGCTCAACTGCCCAAGGGGACCCAGGCTGCCCACTGAGTCTTAAGTCAGCAAGCTGATTGTGAATTTAGGTGCTTGAACACAGGGAGGAGGAGGTGGTGAGGAGGATTCAGTATTTTTCTAATGCTGACAGAGCAAATACCAAGGGTGAGGGTAAATCATGGCCAACTACCTGGCTTTGTAGATTATCAGCAAACTGCAAATATTTTGCCACGGATTTTCATTATTTTTAGCAGAATGGTATGAAATGCATACATGAGGAAATAGATTTTAACCAACTCCTTCACAAAGATTTTGAGGTTGTAACCTGTAACTCCTAAGGCGAGGCCAATGATATTTGTGATCCTTTGGGCGCAGATGTGGGCCTTTCTCAGACATTTAGGTTTAGTGAGGTGTTTGTGAGCTGCTGAGGAGGGGAATTTGCTCTTGAGAGTTCCTGTTACCTTCATGTGTTTATTTTGGATTCAGCAGGATTCGTTTATTCTCTTCCTGGTGTTTCTAAAATCTGTGCTAAAACCAGGCTGCCTGAGCAGTGCTTTCTATGTAATAGTGGTGACCACGGACAGCGTGGTCTGTGATTATATAATAATTTTGAATACATAAAAAGATGTCTCATGGCAGGTCTTATAAGGGCAGCCTGGAAGCGACATCATTAGGGATTAAGTTGCACTGCAGTTGAATCTTGCAGCTATCAGACATGCAGCAGTATGTCAGCTGTAACCTCCAGGTGTAAATAGACCTTCACCAGTATCTCTGAAAAGTGTTGGGAAGATCCGGAGTGCTGTGGGATGCTATCCATCAGTCGTTTGCAGAACCTTGTTCCTGGCTGTGATAGGTTTTTACTCCCGTAGCTGGCTGGATCTATAGAGCTTTACACAGTTCATTTCAAGGAAAAGTAGAGGGTGTATGTGCTCACTGGTGCCAAATTCAGATTGATCGTTTTACTGTCTCCTTTTCTGCCCCTTTTCACCAGCTAAGAAACAAGAGCTAGATGGATTTTGCCTTGCAGGGAAAATAAGACTAAGGTAATGATAACAGAAGTAGCCCTTTGTTTTAGGAAATAGTAATGAGTAACCTTATAATGACGAGTTACCTTCTGTGTCTTCTTGGAATTGCCTAACAGGCTGCTTGGGAACAGGATTGTGTCTTTTATTCACTGCCATATCCTTTAGCAAAAAAACAGTGCCTGGCTTGTAGTAGGTACTCTAACAAATGACCTTAATGCAGATTAGGATTCTAAAGCACAGACATTCTAAATTGTCTGCCCAAGGCTGCAAAGTTAATCGGTTGGATTCCTTGACAATAGGCAGAGGAAGAAGGTGGAAGTCACAGACGAAAATGGTTTCCCTTCAGAACCTCTTCATTGAAAATAATATTGGCCATGGTTTTAGAGGAGATTTCAGTAAAACTAAAGGCCAGGCGCCATGGCTTACGCCTATAATCCCAGCACTTTGGGAGGCTGAGGTGGTGGATCCTGAGGTGTTGCCAGCCTAGGCAATATGGTGAAACCCCATCTCTACAAACAATAACAAAAATGAGCTGGACATGGTGGCTTGAGCCTACAGTTCAAGCTACTCGTGAGGCTGAGGTGGGAGGATTATTTGAGCCCAGGAGGCGGAGATTGCAGTGAGCTGAGATCACACGACTGCACTCTAATCTGGGTGACAGAGTAAGACCCTGTCTCAAAAAAATAAAGTAAAATTTCTGTATCCATTAATACTAGTTTTTATAATTCATTTTATTAAAAATATAATTTTATGATATAATTTTATAATTTTGTTATGAGGATTAAATGAAAAAGAACTTACAACAGTGCCTGTACCATGTAAGTGCTGTACGTGTTTGAAAATTTGCCTTGTCTATTCTGAGACTGCTACAAAAAACAAAACTAAAAAGAAAATTTGCCTTGAATGTCATTTATTTTTTAGGTTATTTGATTGCTCACTTGGTTTTGAAGTAAAGGCCAAATTTTTTTTTAAACTAAACTATAGAGATGTCTTTAAGACTAGACCTGAATAAGAAAATGTAATTCAAGATGTAATAGGAAAGCCAACTGAAGTCTGATTTTTAGTAATAAAAATGTTATGACGAGGCACGGTGGCTTATACCTGTAATCCCAACACTTTGGGAGGCCAAGGCCAGTGGATTTCTTGAGCCCAGGAGTTCAAGACCAGCCCTGTCTTAACATAGCGGAACCCTCCTCTCTAATAAACATACAAAAATTAGCCAGGTGTGGTGGTGCATGCCTGTAGTCCCAGCTGCTTGGGAGACTGAGGCAGGAGAATCGCTTGAACCTGGGCAACAGAGCAAGATTTAGTCTCAAAAAAAAAAAAAGTCATATTACCATCTGAACATTGTGTTAATACAAAATATAAGGCAAACAACTGGAATACAAGCTTTTAGTAAGAATTGTTCACCCAGGACCAAGAAAAGTATATTAGGAGAAAGTGTTATTGTTTGGTCCAGTAGTCTTTAAATGTTTTTCATTTTATAATCCTTTCAATAAAATACTTCTTGCGTACACCTGCAACATTTGTAAATTTATAATTACGCACTGTTTACTTAAAGCTATTTCCATTATAAATATATAAAAACAAATAATGAGACAAGTAAACATGACTAGAAATTTCAGTATTTTCATTCTATACCCCTAAAGATCATCTTTCACTCTCTTTTAAAACACCTGGTTTAGAAAGAAGATGTCTAAACTCTCTTAGATTACTAGCAAACTCTTCTAGTAATCTAGAAGAGTTTAGACATCTTCTTTCTAATCTAGAAGAGGAGATAGATAGCATTTTTTGAAGGAGAGTTTATTATTTCTTTGGAGTGATATGTGGATGAGATATTGACAGAAAGGTAAATTGTTAGACAGATTGAGTGTAGGATGTTTGAGGAGTAAACCAGAAAGCTATCCCTTGGCCATCTGTCTAAAAATTTGGTGAGGTATCACAAATCAAACTCCTAAGGATTAAAGTGGCCCCATTAGAATTTTTTAATCACTTCCTCATAACTGATAATGCTGTGCACTCTGGAATAGGGGGAAAATATAGTTCATACACAGGTATGCAGAATTGCTTTTAAATTTGAAAGGTATTGTATTTCAGCTACGGTTATGTACCATATACGTTTAGGTCAGCGATAGACTACATATAAAATGGTGGTCCCATATGTTTATAATGGAGCTGCCCTATACAGGTGTACCATTTTTTATCTTTTATACTGTGTTTTTACTGTTCCCTTCCTGTGTTTAGATATGTTTAGATATATAAGCATTTAGTGTCTAACTATGTTAGATGTGTAAGTACTTACTGTTCTACAGTTGCCTACAGTATTCACTACAGTACCATGCTGTATGGGTTTGTATCCTAGGAGCAACAGTCTCTACCACAGAGCCTAGGTGTGGAGTAGGCTATCCCATCTAGGTTTGTGTAAGTACACTCTGTGATGTTCACATGGCAAAATCTCCTGACACATTCTCAGCATGTATCCTTGTTGATAAGTGATGTGTAACTGTATTCCTGAATGGAATGGTAAGGAGGCCAAGTTAATCTTTCAGAAGTGAAAACGTGGAGATGAGATGAAATCCCTGGACTTAATGTGGACAAGAGCTGTGTGTGGATAGATGGGTAGTGAGGAGGGCTCC